TAACCCAACGATGGTAACGTCGTAAATAAATACAAAGATGGTAATCGAATCGTTTAAGTATAAATCGATCGAGTAATAAATCGATACAAATGCAATGTTCACTCAAATATCTGTTTAAGTATAAACATTTAAACGAAACAGTTTGATTCAATTATAAATTAAAATATTTCGATAAACAGCTTTTGAATTAACGCTGAGCCTTCAATATTAAGTAGCAATTAAGTTTTCCCCTGATCTAATAAGTACTGAAAAAGTTGTCATAGACCATCGTTCTACATTACTGAAGGCATATGAAAATGTTTTTGATTCGAAAACATGTGTGTTTTGTGAAGCGAAATTAAATTCTATCCTTAAAATGACAATAAATGTTGCATTTTTCTCGGTGAATAAGGACACCATTCACAATACATGAATGCAGATAAAATGTAACATAAATGTACTAATATGCGAAACTCGTGTGCATACATTTGACGTTTTAATGAGAATAAACAGACTGTTTTTCTAACTTTTAGTCCAGCATCATTTTTTTCCTCGGGCACGAATTATTTTACAAATGATGTACGGAAGTGTCGTATAATTACACACAATATAGTGTTATATTATTTGCACATAATTAATGCATTGGCGATTGTAATGCTTACAGAATGGTACGTTTCTCAAAGTTATGTATTTAAATTTGAATGCCATCGACAGAGTAAATACAAGAACACATATACACAAATATATTAACCATAAAGAATGTCTAACTGACTTTGTTATTCTTAAAAAAAAAAAATTTTTAAAAAAAACTAGATCAGCGTATCTTAAACTGTGTTCCGTGGAACCCTAGGGTTCCGCAAAGATCACTTCAGGGTTCCGCGAAGCTTAAGTAATTTTTTAAAATTTTTTAATAAAACTACTTTAAAATTTCCAACTAAAGACTAGTAATGGTGAAAAACTGTTTATAGAAAATTATAGAATAATTATACTACAATAGTATAATAATATACTATAATAGAATAAAATTATTATTGAAAAAAAAAATATTTATATATTAAATAACAATGTATAAGCCATATAGAATAGTCTCCATTTATATTTAGTCTAATTAAAATAAGTATTATAATATATATGTATATAATTATTATTATTTTAATTTTTATTTTAACATATTTTTTTAATTAAATACCTTTTACATAGTATTATTATATGATTATAATTTATTTAGAAATAATCTTATAAAATCTAAAAAGCTTAAAAAATAGTAGGGGTTCCACGATAAATATGGACATCAAAAAAGGTTCTACGGTTAAAAAAGTTTAAAAAACACTGAACTAGATGTATAACAATAAAATTATAACTTATTGATTCAAAATCCGTGTCTAAAAAATTAGTACTTTAAGTAGTTCCTTATTTTTTTTTTTTTTTTTTTTTTTTATCAAATTACCATTTCATCGAAACTTAACTTGGTACATTATAATGTGCTGGATGTACATTTTTATAGTTTACAGATTGTATGATGTATCGAATGGAAAAAAAAAATATTTGTTTTAGTTGTGTACATACATGTATGAAACTGCATATAATATTTTCACATTAATTACCTATCCAAAAACCAATAAACGCGAAATGAAATTATTCTAACCTACCTGCATTGTGTAATGGTATTTGCTTCAAAGCACGTAAAACATGTGCGTAATTCATTGTATAAGCTTTTGCGTAGTTTTAATAATGAATACAAAATAATTATGGTTTTTAACATAAAAATACACTAATTTTACATCACAACGTTGCTAAATATATCCAAGTATCATTAATTATTAGTTGGAGATTCAAAAAAAATAAAAATAAAAATGTGTACTGGGATTTTACTCGAAATCCATCAGTGTTTGTGTTTTATTAATTAATTACTCAGTGATCAAATGCAGATGGTTTCAAAATGTAATCATCCATCCAAGATTAACTTTTCTAGACTTATACATGCAAAATTATTTACTATATGTATGTATTTTAATTGTGTTGTAAAATCTTAGTCCAACTCTGGAAAACAATTTCTATAAATACCAATAAACAGACTTACGAATTCCCAACAAGATATCAAAAAAATTGCCTACATTTTATTTAAAACATGTTTTAAAATATTTGTGAATTTAACCACAAGAATGTTCAGAATGATAAAATTCATTTTTTTGATTTGGATTTTATAAAATTTTAAAAATCAATGCTGAATTTTTACTTATATAATATGACGTATTGATCAATCTTAACAATAAATAATTATAAAACTAATAATAATATGAAATGTTATAAATATCATCGTTAAGTAACTGTATATTATGTGTATATATTTTAATTATAAATTACTCAAAAAAAAAAAAAAATCAAATAACTTAACTGGTAATACTTTTCCAATTTAAATATTAATGAAATATCTATTAAATGTATGTCATTATATATATTTTAGATTTAATTAGATTGTGATTCTTTAGATGACGCGTTGTTTTATAACTATTTATGAATATGAATTAGCTTATTTTTTGTATTATAACTAGGCGAGGTTCTCTTTGAAAAATCGTTCATTTTTTTTTTTTTTATTAATTCAGAATTTTAAGAAAAGTATATAATATACAGAATTTATTTTATTTGAAAAAAAAATAGTATGAATATAGCATAGTTAGGTAGGTATGTCATTTGCGAGATATTTTTTAAGTCTTTTCTTTTCTTTTATACTTTAGTAGAGTATTGGTAAAAGCGTTCATAAAATATGTTATACAGTTCAACTATTTTTATTGCAATTTTTTGATATCATACATACGAGTATTATATACGGGTTAAGATGAAACTTATGTACAACTTCTATTGGTGAGAGTTAATTTGACTGTATTATAGTTAAATTAGTATATAACATGTTATATGCTTCTAATCTATTTTTTTCTAAATACACTTTAAGATGCATACATTTGCTTTACTATGATTTCAGTTTAAATTAATTTTTATACATTTCAACTAGAGCTCTCAATTTCGAACGAATCACGAGATCACGTGTTTTTTTGTTCACGTATGCTTAAATTTAAAAATCCATGAATTTAATTCACGTGTCATTAATTATTAGATCACGGATATTTACTTCACATGTGTTAAAACAAAAACCAAAAACTAAAAACTAAAAATATTTATACCTACTATTCTAAAAATAAATGTTTCATAAACAGTATTATCGTAAAATGACGGGACGGATGGATTAATGTATATACTATGCACCCGACAGCGACGTGGAAATATCTACGAATAGTATGAAGTTCGTACTGCGAACCCATAATAATAAACACGCGATTTAATAACAAAATTCACCGACTCACGTCAAGTTAAATTCACAGATTCACGTGTGATTGAATTAAAAAATGCATGTGATTGCATAAGAGAATTTTGATTTCACGTGTATCCGTGAATTTAACTGCACGTGAAATAAAGACTTCTAATTTCAACTTCGTTATTCATTATTATACGTCCAATACGTCACACTGCGTCTATGATTTATTTACGACTACAACTCTACCTGGACCGTCAATATAAAATTTATAAAATGAAATTACAAATTTTCGTGAAATCTATAAAACGGTGTTTAATTATGGTTAGTAAACTACATTTATTGTTTTAACTTGTGTGAATTTTTTTTTCGAAACCGATTGTTTTGGTCAATATTTTTCAATAATTTTTTCCTACCAAACAAGACAGTTATTGGAATATGCAACTATTTATTGGTCATGCTCAGTTTTACTTTTGTGTACACGAGTACACGCATTACAAATATACATATTCATGTATTGTAAAATAAATATAAAATCCTGGGGGATTTAGTGCTCCCCTAACGGTTTGTTTAATTACACGCTAGTTATAATTCAAATAACAATTCCTATGGCCAGCCTATGGGTTCTGTATTGAAATAGTTTTTTAATTGAAAACAACAAAATAAAATAACGACCCTAATACATTATAGCATTCATCGTTGTTTACGTTTATTGCGTATAAACATTATTGCTCAGGTAACACAAATAATGACCAAAAATCTTAAATAAAAAACGAAAATAAAAACAATAATAGAATCAAAAATCATTCAGACTCTTGTTCGGAACGGAAAACTATTCAAAATATAAATCACTTATGTTATTAAATTATAGAAGATTATAAATTATACGTACCTTATAAATAGTATCTGAAAATAATTATACCTTATCATGATATACTGAACGTTTAAATATAAGCTACATGACAGAAATTTAAAATAAAATAATGATTTTATTTTTAAAGATAATAATTAATTATTTGACAATTAAAACAGAGGTCAGTAAAAATATCTATATTTTACTAAATATGCAAGTATAGTTTTTTTTTGAAAATTTATCTTTGAATAAATTTAAAATAAACTGTTGTTTATTTCAAATATATAAGTATCTTTTACAAACTATAATATATTACTTTCAAAAGGAATCCCATCAAAGTCAAGAAAACATTTAGATAAATGTCATAAAGTATATTATGTCTAAAAGTCAGCTTAGAAATTTATTGAATTATGTAGTGATTCTTCTTTAAGTATTTGCGGTTAAAATATAACTTATTACTAATATAGAACATAAAATATTAATCATTTTCATATTATCATCCTACTGATCTGTTGTCATGTGTGTGAAATAAATAAAATAAAATGTCATTACTTTCGTTACTTATACTCGGTAAACACTACACTGCACATTATACGGTAAATACATCATTTTCAAATTCCCACGCATAATATAATACCACAATTATTATTATACTATATATTATTTTGTTCACAGTAAAAACAATTACTTTTAGAAACATAATATAAATTATACCCTACATGTACTCGAATTTTAACAATCAACGAATATTTATTCGAATGTTTAAAAAATTGATTTCTCAATAATTCCGTTTACTTTTTAAATCAACCAACAAATAATAAAAATAGGTATTAAGCGTTTCTATTTGAATAAAAAGGATATGGATTAGTGATCATAGCCAAACACCAATTTCGAGGCCTGGAATTTTGGTCCAGATATTTCATAGCTACGGGTACGAATCCTGGATACGGCAATTGTTCTCTTTGATTGTGTTCTGCGTCCATACAATCATCTTCATCGTCCCTATTATCCTCGGAATCCTCGTCATCCTCTTCTTCCTCCTCGTATGCTTCAACATCCAAGCTACCAGGATAGCCTCCCGTCACTACGGCTAGATCCGAGTCCGAACTGCTTCTGGCCAACAAGCCATGATTGCAACTAGTTCGTCGGTATCCAGATTTGTCTACATCACCGACTACAGAATGCCTCATCGCAAAAATATTGCAGCAAAAGGCCCTGTGTGCAATATAAACGAATTTATTAAAAATTATTATTTAATTACTTACTATACAGACACTAATTATAAAATTCATATTTTGTAAAAATAAAAAATAAATCATTGTATTTTATTAAGTATTAAAAGTAATATTAAAATAGTAAATTAGACAAATAAAATTGAATTCTCTAGGTGTACGTCTATGGGTGTATATTAATAACTTCAATAGTGTAAAATTGTAATCAATGTATTCGTTAAAAGGACATATTTTTAAATATTAATTAGTTAATGACTCAGATGTTCAATAACAGTATAAATTATAATTTTTATTAATTTAGGGCTTATTTAAATGAAAAAAGGTAACATAGTTTAAAAAAAAAAAAAAAAAAAATAATAATCATATACAATTATAATATTTAGAATGAACTAAATATTTTGTAATTAAAAATCTAAAAACAAATACATGATTGAATTTATAACATTAATTTCAATTGTTTTATCACTCTAAAAGAAACGAATAATTAAAAAATATTTTAATATTTACATTTAAATGTATGAGTATGTTTTAATTTATGTAGAGTACTTTGAACTTATCATTTTTATATCAAAATAACATATAATAATGGCCCTAATACAAATCTAAGTATCCAGTCATTTTTCTAAAAAATATATTCAGTTATACTTGAAAATCTAACGTGATCACATTATAATTATTGCTAATAAATACAAATTTTGATTAAAAATTTAAATAACAATTAATATTAAATGAATATTTTGTATATTTAAATAATATATGCAATAGTTGTAATAACATCTCATGGCGAATGAAAAATTTTTTTTCAAAATGTAATACATTAAGTATCAATGATGAATAAATACTCGTAGGTATATTTAAATTTTAAAATAATTAAATCCTTATTAATTAAACAAATTAATAAATATATTCATTAGACTTGTTTATGAAAAAAAAAAATAGTGTTTTGGAGAATACAAAACATACACAGAACATGTTGTTAACATCTAAATGACACAAATGATTGTTGAGATTTAACTTGACAGCTTGAAATTTAATATGATCATTATATATTTCGTCATGACAGCTTTCACTTTTTAAGTTAAATCTTTTTATTCGATTACATAACGGAAAAAAATATCATACTCACTATCCAATACTTGATTCAATATATTATTTTTAAGATTTATATTTAAAAAAAATAATGATTAATATTATTAAATATTTATAGTACAGTAGATTATTATTATTATTATTATTCATTCTTGGCATAATTATTATTGATATTATAAACTAGAATTATTGATATTATTTTACTTGTTTTAAAAAAATGTTATAATTTCTTACATATTATTATCACTGTCACTATTTAAAAACATCTATTATTTTGCCATGTCAATTTTCCTAATAAATTTTAATATACAGTGAAAATATATTTAGCTTACAAACCAAAATATTATTTATGTATAATCGATAGATTTATTTTTAATACTATAGTTAATTAATTAATTTAAATTTAATTAAAATTAAAAATGTATAATTAATATTATTTATCTATACATAAATCATAATATCTGTTACCATAGATTAAATATTTTATTATTCTTTCAATTAAAATTAAAAACAATTTAGTTTGCAACTAGTTCCTCGACTAGTTGTGAAATTGTATTAAAAAAAAAGTATTAATGCAAAAAATATCAGATTGGCTGATTTTACCCTCAGGGTAAATAAGCAGATGCCACTGTTATAATAATATAATGTACTTAAATAAGTAATGGAAAATAAATGTATTTTGTTTTAAGTCTTTGCTATGAACAGATAAAATCCCCTTAAAATGCAATTCACATAAATAATAGTTTTATTCCATGGACAAGTTTGAGAATAATACGTTTACTTCAAACCATGACATATAATAGTAGTGACAATAATAATAAGAAGGCACCTATGAAAACATTTCATTGTATTAATATTGATTGTATAAAATTGTATTTGTCATTTGAACAGCAGGTATGACTGAACATATCTATTTGAAATATTAGATATATAGCATGCATCATTTTATAATACCATTTGACAGGACATCTAATGATTTGATATGTGCTCGTATCTTTTAATTGTATATTTCAAAAAGGTCAACTCTAATTGATCAATTCATTGTCAAATCAAACGATGATTGTTTTCTTGATGTATGACAATTAAGGATACTAAATAAGTATGCAATCTTTTTTATAATACTGCGTTATTTTTCAAAATACATTAACGTTAAATAAGAATACCTAAGTTTTCTATGCTGTACAAAAACATACTCTCTTTAAAGATTTAAATCCGTTTTTAAATGTATCCAAGATGAGGGTGAATTTAATAAAATAAATGGTGATGTTTGATTTTAAATTAAATTAATCTTTAATGGAACATAGATATAATAAGCTTATACTTCTTGTATTATGTACGATTTAGTAAACATATTTTTGTGAATAGATCCAAATCATTTAATAAAATATTTTTAGATTATTTTTTTTTAACTAATTCATATATTGATAATAATTGAAGTGAAAATACATACACTATTTTAGATTAGCTTATAAAATATTATAAGTTATGAATATTCATAATGGCTAATAAATAAATAAATCCCATTGAATATTAATTAGTTTATATTTAAATATTCGAAACAACAAAGGTTTATCTAAGTATTTAATTTTTAATACCACCTAATTAAACTTTAACTTTTTTTAATTGTACTGAAAGTAATATTTAACACGGAGTTTAACACTTAGTTAATACTGATAATAAAGTCAATTTTTCATAATAAATTAAGTATAAAATAAAATAATTTTTTTTTTTTTATGTATATAAATATTTTTAATAGAGCTTTCTAGTGATTGAGTGTTTTTATCATAGAATGATCTATATTGAGACTATGAAAAAAAAAGGTCAAGAGTGACGCATAAGTGACATATAAGGGGTGACATAGGCACTTTTCTGACAAGACAGTGATAAGTACTTCGTATAGCATTTTCACAAAGTCAAATTTTTACGTTCTGTAAATTTATACTGATATCCACAGATCCTTTATTTAAAAAATAAAAATGTAGAATATACCTCTAATTAAATGTTAATAAAACAAAAACGTATACTCAAATGTTTACACTTTTAATTATACTAACAAAATTAAGAGTATATTCATATAAAAATAATTTACTAATATTTTCTAGGGAAAAAATGATATTGATTAATAGGTTGATAGTTATTGGAGATTCTTTGACCACCGTTTGTAATTTATTGACTTTAATTTAATACTTTTAAACAATAAAAGTCAAGATAAAGGCTATCATTGATTAGAAAAGAAAAATTATTACAGTAAAAACAATGAAGTATTTTATGATGTTTAAGTTATTTGATAGAACAAAAGACATTTAATACTAAAAAACAGTTATTTCAATTGTTTTAAATAATATTGAGTTCACTGGTGAAACAATTCTTAAATTAAAAATAAAAATTATTTTTAAATTACACTTACATCATGTTGGGTTCCATCAAATATTTATAAATATAGTAGTTCATTATAAATAATGGATCAAGCATAGACAATAAATATTAAAAATCTATTTGAATAATTGAACATATTTTCTACTGAAATCTAGATTCTGCGTATGTGTGAAGGAAATTATAAATAAATTAGTTTATGAAAAACTAATAATTTATAGGAAAACAAATAAATAACTACTTTAATAGAAATTCGTTTAAATATCCGTTTCAAAAAAACTTTAATTTTGTAACACATATTTACGACTTTGCAGTATTTATTTATTTATTTTTTTTTTTTTTATTCTAAATATAATCTTACGAACAATTTTTTCCAATTTTCACGCTTTTAGTATAAAATTTAAGTCATAAAAATTTAATGAAGTATTTATCATTTTATAAAAATTTACTATTTAAATGATCATAAATATTTTCTTAGAACATAAACTCAATTTTTTTTTTTTAATGAAATATGTATATGAAATTTATACTTAATTTTCAAGATTTTTTGTCAAATAAAAATTATTTTATCGACATTTTAGGAAAAAAGTTAGGAAAACATAAACATTTAAATTTATTAAAAATAGCTCAAAAAAAAATCTCTCGACAACTATATCATCTATTGCAAATGGTAATAAAATCATTTATTGAAAATTTCAAGTCCCTACGTTTATTTTTTTAAATTTAATGAAAACATTTTTGATAACAAAAATTCGATTTTTCAGAAACTGATATGCTGTAAGTTTTTTATCAATTTTTGTCAGTTTTTTTTAAATTAATAAGAAAACTAATTGCAAATTCAAAAAATAACCCAATTCATAGAACCAACTACATAACAAAAATGTGTGATATTATGACAAAATAAGTATAAAATAATGTTGCATTCAAAATATTTAGTTGGACTGGGTTTACTATTTTTTTTTTTTTTTTCATTATTATTGTTTATAACATAATAAACAAAGTTTTTGAAACCCAATGTTTATAATAAGTGATTAAAAATCAAAATTCTTAGTTATGACTACTAAAGTATAAAAATTCTTTCAAAATAAATAATTATTATATAGTTTTGAAATCAATTAACTTTTTTATGGTTATATTATAAAGTTTTATATAAAACTACTGAATTAAGATGTTTAAGATTATTATTAAAAAATAATTTATGACATAACAAACATTATTAATTTTATGAAAAAATATCCATGAAATGTCCTAAAACATTATCACTTCTCATTATTATCATAATTATCTAAATTTAAGTTTAAATTAAAAACCATTAACCGTAAACATTGAACAAATATTCTAATCTGATCGTGTTATTCCTTTTTATTTCCATGAACATGCCATAGTAAACATTCTTGAAATGTTTTTAAAACTTGACACTTCATGATATTGAATTTCAATTAAAATTTACAACTGTAAAAACTATAAAGCTCATATTTTAATTAAAATAAATTCACCATGCATCGAATATATTATATGCATAAAGAAAGATTATTGTAATATGTCTGTAGGATAAAACAAAAAAATATGAATGTATTTTATAAGACAATAAATTTATCCTAGTTAATTTATGAACAAAAACTTTATACTCTTTATATTTCTATAGGTATATTTTACTGTCAGCTGCAGTAACATTAACCATAACCAACGAGTGCAAAGTGTTAAAAAAAAAAATATCATTCAATAATTTGTATTAAAAATATATTTATAGTGTTTTTTTTTTATTTTTTGGTTACTAGCCCCTTCTGCCTTCAATAAAATAATTAATTTTTTATATGATATTTTAAATATATACATATATATATATATATATATATATATATACATTATAAAATAATTATTTGCCAACAGTACATTGTCTAATCAATTTATGTACCTACTAATATTAACTATAAAATATACTATTCTATAGCTATTAACTTAGTCACCATCTTATAGACTACAAAAGTAAATTTTTGATTTATTAAAATATTTATTATTTTTCTTGTACTAAGGATCTTAAAAAATATAGTATAATAATTTTCTATACGTTTACTTGATGAGATATTTATATTTTATTACTAATTCAATCTTTTCTTAATTATTTTTAAACATAAATAAATATTATATAATTTAACAAATCTATTATTAAAAAAAAAAAGTAATAATTGAAACAAGCTTATTTACTTTATATTATAATTACTCTAATTTAAAACTCTGAATATTGTTTCAATAAACTTATCACTTTAACACACTGCAGCACATAAATAGTTCTAAGCTTCTAAAATTATAAAAATAATAGTTTGAAGAAAATAATTTTTCTATGTAGGCTTATAGACCAAAACAATAAGAATAATAACTATTCTTAATATTCTGATTGAATAACTTGCACAAAATCATATTGCATCTTATAAAAAACAATTATTTAATAATAATATAGTATACATAATTATCAAAATAGCACCAAATAGTTATTTAATTATACTTTTCAAACGCGTTAAAACAAAATATAAGCTGAAATGATTCACGGCATTGAAACATTTTCAATTTAGAGATAACGCCACTACTCGGTCATCAAAATATATTTCGAATATTGGATCGTCTTGCATTTTTTACAAGTGTGAATATGGAATTTTGTTTAGTGATTAACTAATCTGATCATAATAAAACTTATCAAATCTTAGCTGGTATAGAAAACCCCTTCAGTATTACTCGGTTTAAAAATATGAAATAAAATAATAATTTATGAAAGAGGTTCGTATTTTACTCGAGAAAGTAATAATTAAACCATTTTTTCCAAATTCTTGTAAAAATAATTTTGCTTCACTTTACAATTTCAACAGATGTGAAATTCAATTTGTTGTACAATTTAAGTTATTAACATATAATGATTATGATAAAGATAATTTTATACACATTTCGCACTTTCGTCTTGTTTTTCGCAACAATTTAAACGAAATATTATTTTGCTGAGCATAAAAATTGTAAGTTGTGTATATTTGAAAGGAGGAAAAAAATCGTCGTCAATCGTCGTGCGAATAACAAAACACACATGATTGAAGAAAATGATTGTAGTACACGCGGATAATACGGAAATCAGTATGATCAAGCAGAAGATTGATAATGTTATAAGAGACGGGGCAAACCGTTTGCGTATTTCATTTTTTACCGCATCTTCTGATTGATAATACCGTAACAATATAGTGATGTCGGTGATGGAACGTAGTAAACGAATGCCGTTTCGCCGGAAAACCGTAACCCGCAATGAAAAGTATAACATAAAAATAAAATAAATAGTAATCCGATTAAATATGATTGTTACGACCGACGGTGGTCGGCAAGGGGGTGGGTGTTGAACTTGCTGCGGGTGTGTATGTTTATATGCACGTACCATAGACGTATATATGTATATGAGGTCGTGCGGATTCGTTGCAGGCGATTAAAAAAAAATACTCACTCAAAACACGGTCGTCTCCGAGTGATCCATACACGACGGTGTGTACCGACGGCGGTTTGGCGAAGAGAAATTGATATTCCGACCAGCTAGTGCTTATGACGATCTTACGACCATAGATCTGTCGGTCGGTAGAAATACGAGAACGAGTTGATGAGGTAAAAAAAAAAAAAAATTTAAAAAAAAACGCACACGCGGTCGAGAGGACACGCACAGGCACGATATGTCGAGTACGACGACAGTGGTCGGCCGACGCAAGCGCGAAACGAAAAACACGGTGACGGAAATGGACGGTTACAGGTTCAGGAAAAACCGAAACCAGGACGCTTTCGGTACGGCGCGAGACGGCGCAGGGTAAACGGTGGGTGTTCGGGGGGAAGGCGAAAGGAAAAAAAAAGGATCGCGACGTGGAACTGATTACGGCGAGCGGTGGCGAAAAAGACGCGCGCGCGTACACTTGGACGGCGGCGGCTGCGGTAGTCGCGAACGACGCGGGCGGCACACACAGACTGAAGCCGCGCGAGAAACGGACTACGGCGGCGGCGGCGGCAGCGTTCTGCGCGCGTGTGCGTTGTCCGCGGTGCGTACGTGTACGTGTACATCCTGTTGCGCGCCGGCAGTACACGACCGCGCCGGTGCGTGTGCGCGGTCGCGGTCGCGTACAACTGCTGGAGTACCCCTTGTCGTAGCCCGGGGGAGGAGGAATGTAATCTGACCAAGATCATGGGAGAGGCTATTTTATTTTTGGGGGAGGTGCGCGTTTGAGATACCACTATTACCCGCCGGCGTAAAATACATTTCAATTGTAATAAGACGATCGATTTCAAACGCGTTATGCGTCCGTTAAGTTCCGAATTGTTTTGCGATGGTCTTTTTTTATTTTTTTTTTTTTTTTATCTCCTGGACCCGCCCCCGACCCTAAATTGCTAAACGGTGGTGATAAGAAAATTTCGGTAAAGACCCGTGAGGTCGTGACGGCGGAAAAACGTGTGGTGAGCGACGGCGGATGGGGAACAAACGAGAGAGTGATAAACGGATGTGGCGACGACGTCGCAGAATCATTAAATCACGTATACGCGGTTTTCGTGTTAGTAAAACACCAAATGTAATTATTTAACTACGAGAATAATATGTTAGAGAATGAAAAAATTTTAATTAATTTTTATTAACAGTCTACCGATAGAAATATGGTGGACCACAATACATTATCACGGTTTAAATCGAATTTCTAAATCAAACAGTAAACACACATTTAAATGAAAGTTAAAATAACCAATACGTTTATTGTTTCAAGAATAAATTTAATTAAATAAATGCAAGTTGTTTTTCCTTATCTTCAAAGTTTATAAAACTATCGAAAAATAGCAATGAGGCGGTAACGGTTAGGTCTGTATTTTTCGGTGTAGATAAAAGATCGTGCAAATTTAATAAAAGTGTGTAATGTAGCTTTTTCAGTAATACAAACTTGAAACTCATAGTTTTTAATAATATGCACTAGTGTAAGAAAAATCGCATATGTTTATATTTTATGTTGATGGAATATAATCGTAATTGGAAATAAGGAGAAGGAGAAAAAAAAGGAATAAGAATATAATCATCTGATTGTTTTTACAACGCATTTTACTTCAATGACGCTACTGATAATTATATAATTACATGTACAAATAATATAAACGTATAAGCACAAACTATACGTAATACGCGCGCGCGCATTTGTGTGTGTGTGTGTGTGTGTGTGTGTGTGTGTATATATGCGTATATGTTTATACATATTCAATATTTAACGATGGAACAATGACAACAGTAGTGGGGTTAGTTAAGCAGTAATAATACAGTCGTCTATCGTCGCTACCGTTATTATTGTTAAACAGAAAATAATCACCACCACCGCGCGCGCACCGACAGTGGCGGTGACGACAATTAATAGTAGGCCTTGCTCGTGGCACCCCTTTAATATATATTGTAATTTAATAATTAATGACACAAAGATTACTGCTCAACCCGCCGCTGCATGCACTATATAATATGACGTCTTCGTTATCGTTGCTGTAGTCGCCCTCGTAGATATTTTATGTATACGGTGGTCGCGTATAGGGATAGCATTCCCTTTGATATATCTCAAAAGAGTTCATTGTAACGTTTGACCATTTGGTACCGTCAAAATAATCAAATTTACTTATCATCTATAAACGTATGATGCAATTTAAAAAACAAAATTATTGAATTTTATAGCTATTAAGATTATTACGTCCCGTGGGCGGCCGATAATTCCGAAAAACAATGTTTTACAAACAACTATCTCATTTTAAATATAAATTATATGAATAATACTAACTAATCGTTAATTGTTTTGATAAGTATATCGAACGCTCAATGTATAATAACACAGAAGCTCTTGCGTTCTTTACCAATTTAATCCCTGTACGTGTGAGTGTGAGTGTAAGTTCGTGCATGTTTTTGTGTGTACTACGTGTTTTGTGGCCAAAAACTATTGCACGACAAAACTATCGGGAATCGACGGTCGGCTTGATTAAAGTTATATCGAAAGATCCATGTAGGTGTCAGGACTGTTGAGGTACTGATTGTATTGAAAAAATAACGACAATTTCGATACTCGACTCACGACTTTTATTATATTAATTAAAGTTGTAATGACGTTGACGACGGTCAGGCAAAATCTGATACCGTCGTACGCTGTTGGCCGGGTTAGGTCGTTGCGAATAAAAATAATCACAATATTGTAATGTACTCGTATACACGACCGCGCGTTGAGAAATGCAATGGAAAACGTTGGCACGCGTAATCCGACGTGCCACCGGCTCGCGTTCATTCACGTACCGAGATTGCCTACACAACGCGCCGTACCGCTCCTTATCGCGCGCCCGGCTGAACGGCAGCTGATTGCGATTCGCATCGTTATCAAACGGTCGTTTAAGAGGAGGGGAGACTTTTTCTTTAAATACGACGGGTGATTTAGTCGCGTTTTTACTGTGTGTCGTTAGTGTTCACTCGAAGCATAAAATATCGTGTACAATGATACACCTTGTGCAATACCAACAAAAAGTTAATTATGTTTTAGGAAGTTTAAAAGTGAGCGATAGAATCTTATTCGGTGGCATGAACAACTATTTATAAAAACGAATACCGCAAATTCAACCAAAATATGAAAAAAAATATCAAATCACATAATGTCTATGATACGTTTCAATACATTTTCAGATGGTATAGGCAGTGTTAAGACCTATCCAGATAAATTTGTTCAGATAAAAATATTTACTATCTAATATTTTATCTAGATAGGAATATACACGTCATCTATTTATTTATCTTTGATTTAAACTTTAATTATTTACTGTTTATTTATCGAGTTGTTTTTTTCGTGTTTAATATTAATCAAATACTTTGAGTGCACCGGGGACTCAGAGATTTTTCCGTGTAGCTTGTGTAACTGCGATAAAAATATTCAATAATAAAATTTTTTATTGAAAATTAATTTAATTGAAAAGGTATGTTTTCCAGATTTCAACGAACATTTATATTCTGATGAGTGTTCCTAAAATTTAGCTATTATATAGAACAGATTTAATTATATTTTTATTATAATATATATATTAATATATATTTATTTATTATTTATGCATTTGTTATTTACCCGAGAGATTTACCATGAGTAACTATGTATAATTAAAACAATAATAGTTTTTTAGGTAATGGATAACAATGGACTATTGTTGTCGTCGTCATCTACTATTTATTGGTAAAAACTATTAAAATCTTCTTGAAAATAAATCTCTTGATTATGTACATCCGGGTCTAATGAATTAAATAACACTGCTCCATTGGGAGAAATTTTTTTTCTTTAATTGTACATTATTGTATATTAATAAATTGTAAAATGTCGTGACGCGCTAAACGATCAAACACGTAAGCCCGTTGAAATCCACCGCCAATAACCGTTTGTCTCGACACTATTATCCGTATTGTTTACTAAATAAATTACAATTGTAAAATATAAAACTTTTTGATGGCTACGTTTTTTACATACGAAAAAAATTCAACAAATACTACTTTGTTCTAAAGTCATATAAAAACCAGATTAATTTAACTGGACATTTTTTTAGTCGCATAAAGGTATATTCTTAAATTTTCTTTCTAATAATTAATTTTTATAATAGTTATTACCAATTAAATAATAATTAGTAACAGATTACTGACTTTTTAAAAAAATCTTCAATAAACTCTTTATTATATTAGAAAATAACTTAGTATTTTAATTCAAAATAAAGTAAACAATAATTTTGGTACCTAACAACTAACATTAATATTTTTAGTCTTTGGAAATAATACCGATTATTTAAAAAAGAAGTGAGTAATAAGAGTAATTTAAACTCATATTTCACAATAGCCACTGAACAATAACAATATACACAAGCATATATTTATATATTTATTTATAATTATGATAATAATTTATACATTTTAATCTGAGTTGTTTACAGTGTTTTCCTTATTACAATCAATATATATTTATTTCTATTTTCAATAGTAATTTCAACTTCAATTAATATATTTGTTGAAATAATAACAGTTTTTTTAGTCTTAAAAATATATTATTTGGTTTATTTTAAAAAGAATATATTTTTTTACGATGGTATAAGACATAAGACGAAAGTTGCCTATTCATGATAGCTTGATTTTTTTCAACACGTTCAGTCTTATTACAAAAAGAATCAACTCTTAAATGAGATACGAAAATAAATCTATATTAGCACATTATTATCTAAATTTTTTATTCTAAATAAATAAAACATTATACAATTGAAACACATTTCAAACGCCTCAAATAAATACAAAATATTTTACTCGTTATAAGCCTGATAATTTTGTTTGGTTTTTTTGTAAATTTAATGTAAAATCGTAGTTTTTTAAAAATATATCTGCTTTTTATCTAGATAAATGATGATTATCTTTTATAAAGACAATTTTAGTCAAAAGATGGAAAATTTAAAATCTGTCAATTATATAGTTGTATATTATATTATTTGCAGACATAATATTATTATGAATAATATCTATAGTTCATTCTTTAACATTTTGACATAGTTATCTAATAACGGTATTCCTCGTGTTGAAAAATACTGCATAGTTCTTTATTAGTGTTCGTGTTCTACATAACAATACATAAAAAAAATCGGATTTAAATTAAACGTGTATGCATTATTATATGTATATTATATCACGCGCATAATTTAACTCACTAACATATATATAAAAATAAATAAATCTAATAGTTTACCATAGATTTCATGACGACGCAATTTATACATTTCCAACTAAACGTGCATCTCAATTATAACGTTCGACAGAGAAAATAATATAATAAACTGCAATTATATTTTATGGACACTTATTAGTTATTATTGTCCATTGCGTAAATGAAGACCCGTAAGCAATCCATTGGGTTACAGATACCAATTATATTGTTGGTATAATTTTAAGCCCAC